GTTTAGACTTTAAGCACTGTCACATAAACATTTTGGAGAACTCACTGCAAAGGTGGAATTTTGACCAGTGCCTTAAGCCCTGTGCAGGATTATATGTTGCTGGAATGAAGTAAAATAGATCTCATTAGACAGTATAGGTCATACATATAAGGGGAAACTGATGCTTATCTGATGTACCCATTGCCCAGGAAAGGAGAGAGATTTAAGAATAATAAAGGGGACCCTGCATTTGGTGCCTTTTTGAATATATATGCAAGAATGAAAAGGACTCTGCTCCTTCAGAAGGTTCAAAGAAACCATTCCCTCCTGCACGCACTGTTTTCCTAAAGTTTATTTTTTATCATCCAAATGTGACATTTAAAATGTTTCTACTCCAAAAGGAATGTTACAAATGTAGTAGTCATATCACTGCATCACAGGATACAAAGTATGTTAGATCTTCATTTGCCACGACGCTCAATTTATCGTGTTTATTTCTTGTGGGAGTTACACTGTGCTGTTTTTTTTTTTTCCCGCCAAGTCTTTGAAGGGAATTGGGGGACTGCTTTGTTATTCACGTGGAAAATACACATCTATTCTCTTTTTGCCATTTCATTTTAGGAAAGTGACCCAAAAAAATGTCTTTGTTTCTCTTCTCTTGCATTTCCAACAGCAGCCAGTGTAGGCAGAGATGGCTCTCCACTCCCCCCTTCCCCCCATCCCCGCCAACTTGACCTGCTTTCGATAATAAACATTTCCAGACTAGCAAATAAAATGCAAGGCTAGGCAAAAACTTCAAGCCCACCTTGGTCACCAGCAGACCAACTGGACACAAGCCGTGGGACTGGTGGAGGATGGTATTTTTCTGTTCTTGTGGCTCTTATTTTAGTGCTAATGGACATCTTTTTCAACACCCTCCATTTAGATCTGCCGAGTGTGTGTCCTAATGTGTAGCGGCAGGTGCAAGGCGCAACTTCCCCACCGCGCTTCCCTGGGAGTCCGCTTGGTTTGGAGGACGCACCCGCCCAGCATTCCGCAGGGACCACATGCAAATGGACCAATTCAGCCTAGAGTCCTCCTCCGTCTTGCCCTCCCACTCCCTCCGCCACAGCGGACACTCTGGCTGGGATTTCATTGCTACATCTCAAGTTCCCGTTTCCGACGAGCTAGTATACCTTTCGCACGTTCGCAGAGGGTTTGCAATTGCCCGATCCAGGTCAGCTGTTCTTACCCATTTTACTGTTTTTCAAGTGGGGTGCGTGGAATCATTTTTGCAAATGGAGGGGCACAATATAACCTAGTGCATAATAGGCGTTTGAAGCTTGCACTATTTTTTTTTTTTTGAGAAGGGAAAATTAAAAGAGTCGATTTGTTTGACTTTGATTTCTATCCACACGACGCGTGGTACAGTGTTCTTAAACTCCTAGCAACAACATGGGGACTGGGCTGAACTGGGACACAAGCGGGAGCAATCGCCGGTTTGGCAGGCCTGAAGCGCAGCTGTCGGGGGCAAGACCCGGGATCCTGACCCTACTCACTCGGCGGTGCCTGCACTGGTTCTGCGTCCCCGGAGGAAGGGAAGGCTGGTGGCTACCGACTTTTGGTCGTTAGGACCAAGCTTGGCCAGGAAGGCTGCCTGTGTTTCTCGCCCTCGGGTCCTTCCTTGCAGAACCGAATTGCAAGCCTGGGCGCACCGGGCCCCGCGGTGGCTTCTTCGACCAAGCGGACCCGAGTCAGGCTTTCATGAGTGTATTTAGATTTCTCCCTTAGACTCTGAAATACAAGGCTTCCGGGAACACCCTGGCCTATTGCGATTGGCATGTTTCGTTTGCAGCCAAACGGCTACCAGAAACAGTCCCCCCCAAAATTAAAGCGACGCAGGAAACATGAAGTAGGGGCGACTGTCGCTCCGAGGATGACCCTGGACGACCCCTTCAGCCTCCGCCAGCGCCCAGTCCCCCCGGGGGGCAGGTACTCTTCTCCTGCCTCATTTGTAACTCACGATTTCGGCGGTGTTTGCCTCTCCTTTCTCTCTGCCTTGGGAAATCTGGGTGAGTTCCCGAGGCCATTCGGGGACCCTGGAATCCGCCCTTCGCTCCGCAGGGCGTCCAGCCCTCCTAGGTGGACCCATCTTGTCACAGGTCCCGCAGGGCGCCCTTAGCTTGGCGGCTCCCTCGCCCCTGGGAAGGGTTCTTCACTCGGTTGCCCGCTGCACCCTGGGCGCTCAAAACAACTAAGCCAAACCTAGCCCGGCGTACACATGGAACTACATTTCCTTTTTTTTTTTTTTTTTTTTTAACCTCTGCGGGCTCAGCGCCGACCATGCCGCCTTCCCTTTGGTCACGCAGGGGACCAAGCTGCATCCCAGACAGGTGGAAGAGACGTTTCCTTTTCTTCGGCAATCTCACCCTTGGATCAATCACCTCTCCCCCAGACCAGCCCAGCCCGCCGAGGGAGCCCGCTGAGTCGGGTCGGAGGCCGACAGGGGGCGACAAACTGTAAGCTTTTCCGGGGGGCCGGCTGTGAGCAGGCTGCAGCAAGAGCTGTGTGGTCCGGGCAGGAAGCAGCTGGCTGCTGGAGGGGTGGGGTGGGAGGGTGGATGTGGGATATGAAGTGCGGGGCGGCGGGCTCTGACACGAGAGAGAACTCTCGGATCCAACCCTTCAACCATCTCCCCCGCCCCGGCGGTGTTCGCTCAGGGGAATGAGGAGAAGATGCTGTCCTGGGCTGCACCTCTTTGCCCGCGTCCAGAGCTCTACTGGCAGAGGTGGGATGATGTTCCCCTGACAGGGTAGTTGAGAACCAGCTCTCACCGTGAAACCTCCGGCTTTATTTGCTGTTCTCTGAGTGTGCATGTCGACTCCTGTCCTACAGGAGAAAGAAATGGCTTTAGCTGCTTCATCTAGCCTAGGAGGTGCACTGGGTTATGGGTGCTGTGGTTCCCAGGTCTAGGAACCAATCTTTTTGCTCTTCAGCCTCCGACTTGAAATTCAGGCAATGAAAGTCTAGACCGGGGAATAAGAGTTTGCAAACTACCCGGAGAGAACTGAGCAAGGGTGGGGGGGCCAGCGCTAGCGCATGCCACCCCTGCGGCATCAGAATGCTCCACATCCTGTGTGAGCTCAGTTCTCTGCTCCGTGCCTTTGCAGAGCTTCTGGCTCTGGTGTGCCCACCTTAATCCAAACGGCCCCCTCTTCCCCCATCGGTAACTCGATCCTGCACAGTCGTGCAGGCTTAGTCCAGATAGTTCCACCCCACCCCCCTCTTGTCAGAACTGTCTTATTCCTGGTCCCCTTGGCCTCCCAGAGGATCCCAGAGTCCAAGACTGAACTATTTTCTCTGGGCGGCGGGAGGGGAGAGTCCTCACCTCTTCTGAACCTGGATTTTCTTTTTCCAAAGATAATTTTTGCCTGGGCCCTGCGCCCTCTGTCCAGACAGCCCAGGATATAGGGCTCAGGCCCCCTTAATTGACATATTTCGATAGGTTGGTTGGGAGCGCTTGGATATTCTTTGGCCCTGTAGCTGAGGGTGCAGGGATCTCAGCAGCTCCCCAGGCTGAGCCGGTTGGGTGTGCCTCCAACAGGGTCGTGGCTGGGCACAGTGCAGCTCTCTGCGAGCTCCCAAGCATTGGAATCTTAGGGGACAGAGCACGAGGGACTCTTCCCTACCTCTTGAGAAGAGCTGGGAGTCCTAAGCACTGAGCGCTCCCTCCTACAATCCCCTCCCTGCTCCTTCCAGGTCAGCCAATGCCCTTGGAGTTCACTGACCCCAAACTGGGGACTCCTCTTGTCGGTTTGGGAGCTTTCTCCCTCCACCTGCCATCTCTTGGACCCCATCGCATGACTGTTTCTGGGACTGCCATCCTTGGCGACACAGACCAGGAAGTCCAGAACTGGGTGCTGACGCAGGTAGAAATGGAGAAGAGTTGATGGGAAATGCTAAGGCGAAAGAGTTCGGGCTGTGCAAACCCCAGAACAAATAAAGGCGAAGGGACTATTCAGTGACTTAACGAGGATCCTTGGAAGCCACGGGGTGCTGGTGAACGATGAGGCTAGGCCGCTTGGGCAGGAAAGATTGTGGGGTTCCCCGCCTGGAAGAAAGGAACTGCCCTTTAGGCCTACTGAGGAAGCTAGGACATATGACCTCCCACAGGCCACCAGGACAAGCCTTGGATCCAGAGAATGAAGGATCCCTTTTCTCAGGGGGCAGCCCTGCGACCTGTGCCATCTATCAGAAAAGAGTTCGGGTGGGTGGGCCTGTTCGCAGAAAGATAGAATCCAGAATGTGCCCTTTTCACATCACTGAAATCACGTCACTATCCCAATGGAGCGGGTGGCAATGAAATATTGTAAAGCTTTCCTGTGGTCAGGTTTGGGGTGTTGTCTAGAAATGCGACACGCAGGAGTCTGCTCAGGCGCAAATCGCCTTGGGCTCTAGGCCCCCCAGCAAGCACCCTGCACCAGGCTGAACATTCGCCACGACACACCCATGCCTGGAGCTGGGGCATGGGCACCACTCTCTCCAGGCCCCTAACTGGGGAGAGAGGCGGTAGAGGCAGCCATACACTAACGACCTTGCTCGGATCGACTTTTATCCTCTGCTATCGTAGCGGTAATGTTAGTGGAAGTGATAATAAAACGAAACCCCAAACTAGTACTAGTGGTAATACTAGCACTAATGAATAGTCATCAACTTGAAATGACCACCCCCATCATTCTCAAAACCGGAAGCGTAAGGGGCTTCGAGCGGAGCGGAGACCCTGGAAGGTCTCAGGCCCGGCTGGGGTTAGGACGTGTGTGTGTAGAAGGGATGGGTTTCGGAGGAGGGCCGAGGGGGGAGGAGGATAGGAGGAGGGGGTAGAGTTTCAGGCCCGGGAGGGGGGCGCTGGGGTGCAGTGACGGGAACCAATGAGCTGCCAACTCGCGCGTCTCCTGCGTGACTGCCGAGATTGACGTGGAGGACACGTCAAATTGATCCCCGCACGCCGCAGCCTCCCGGTCAGACGAATTTCTCCTAATCGGATGAAGTTCACTCTAGGCCTGGGGTCGCGGGCGTGGAGAGTGTCCTGGGAGCGCCCGGGGGAGGGCGGCTGCGCGCTCGGCGGCGGCGCACGGCGCGTTTCCAGCCCGCGGCCCGGCCGCTGCGGCTCTCGACTCGCGCGCGCCCTCCCTCTATGCCTCTCCCGCGGCGGCGGCGCCCGAGCTCTCCTGGACTGCGCCGGGCCCAGCCCCGGCCGCCTCGGCGCCAGGCAGCTGGCTGGCCCGCGCGCTATGGGTAAGGGGCGGGCGGCAGGCAGGGCGCGCGGGCGGGCAGATGAAGCGGGTTGCGTCCCGGCGCCTCCCTTCCCTCTCAGCTGCACCCCCTGGGAGAGCAGGTCTCGGGTCCCGGAGGAGTCGCGTTCTTCTCACGCCCCCAACCCTCGGGGGTTGGGGGTGGAGGAGTTTGGCGTGTCACTGGAAGGGATGTTCCGATTAGACGCGTCAAAGGCGAGAAAGGGCTCGCAGGGCTGAAGCGCGCGGCGTCCCCCACCGCTGTCCCTACGCGGGTGCCCACTCCCAGAGCCCGGACGCAGTCCGTTTGCTCGCATATTCTGAAGATCCGCCCGCGGGTCACTTTGGGAGACGCGCCTGGTGCGGCCCCTTTCCTGGTGTGGCCACCCTTCTTGGCTAACCCGCCGGTGTTTTCTCTCCCCCCTGTTTACTGTCGTCCGGCGCGTCCGCAGAGCAGACGTACGGTGAGGTGAACCAGCTGGGCGGCGTGTTCGTCAACGGCCGCCCCCTGCCCAACGCCATCCGCTTGCGCATCGTGGAGCTGGCGCAGCTGGGCATCCGACCCTGTGACATCAGCCGGCAGCTTCGCGTATCCCACGGCTGCGTGAGCAAGATCCTGGCGCGCTACAACGAGACAGGCTCCATCCTGCCCGGGGCCATCGGGGGCAGCAAACCCCGTGTCACTACCCCCAACGTGGTCAAGCACATCCGGGACTACAAGCAGGGCGACCCTGGTATCTTTGCGTGGGAGATCCGAGACCGGCTGCTGGCCGACGGCGTCTGAGACAAGTACAACGTGCCTTCTGTGAGCTCCATCAGTCGAATCCTGCGCAATAAGATTGGCAGTCTGGCTCAGCCCGGGCCTTACGAGGCGAGCAAGCAGCCGCCGCCGCAGCCGGCTCTGCCCTACAACCACATCTATCAGTACCCTTATCCCAGCCCTGTGTCGCCCACGGGAGCCAAGATGGGCAGCCACCACGGGGTCCCGGGCACCGCAGGCCACGTCAGCATTCCCCGTTCCTGGCCCTCGGCGCACTCGGTCAGCAATATCCTGGGCATCCGGACGTTTATGGAGCAAACAGGTCAGTCTCCGCGACCCTCCGTTTCGTTCCCGGAAGGGGCAGAATTGGGAGATGGGGGGGAAGGCGGACATGCGGGTGAAGGGTCACACTTGCCATCCTCTTCCGACTGGTTATGGCTCAAGGGAGGGTTCAGGGCTGGCCAGGGAGACTGAGGGTCTTGCGCCTTCTGTGGGAGTCTTCGGACATCTTGAACTTTTTATGACAAATATGGAAAATATTTCCCAAATGGAAGAGCAATCGCCGACCACAAATTCAGAGGCCTGAAACTGCGCTTTTTCATTCTTGCAAAAAGTATGCAAACTCCTATCACCAGATCTAAGCCAAACAAACCGCAGAGTCAATTCTGCGACCCTTTCTTATGATCCCGATCTTTTGGGTTCCCTCATCATACCCTAGAGGGTTCTGTTTCTCTCAGGCCCAAAGGCTCTTTTAAGTAAAAGCCAAAGAGGGGCTGTCTGGTCGGTCTTGTCAAGTGGCCTAGATCTCCAGCTGGCCCAGTGGCTCTGCAGCTCCTGGAGCTAGGAGGATCTCATTTATAGGAGCCCCAGGGCTGCAGCCATCCTGGGGGGTAAAGTCACAAGAATTTGCCCTTTGCCTGCAATTATAACCTAGCAAAGTGTTGTTCCTCTTTCTCAGCAGGAGTGGGAGGGAGTAGAGGGGGGAGGGAGGTTTAGGGCAGCCTTGGTTGGGGCTCAGGAAGACTTGTCTCTTCACACTGTCCTCTTCTCCCAACAGCAGACCAGGGAAAGGCATGCTCTTAGGTGAGCAGACTCAGGAGGGGGGTAAAAAGCAAAGCTCATCTCATCTCAAGAGAGAGGAGGGACGGCTGGAAGGAAACTGAATGCTTAGCCCTAGATGCCTTAGGATGTCCTCCGAGGTCGAGCACAATTGTTTCTCCCCAATTCAAACCCAGCCTGGGCCACCTGCTGGAGCCAAAACTCCCCTTGGTGGGATCAGTGGGCATTTGGTTGGGAGGTGACCTCATCAGGCTCGCGCTCAGATCTGGAGTCTTCTCTTGGTCCCCCGTGCACACAACGTGCTCGAGGAGCAGACATGCGCCTGAAAGCACACGGGTCGCTGTGTTTTGGTAAGTCTCCGGAGGCAGTCCTGCGTCTCCTTCTAGATGCTTGTTGAGACAGAAGAACCCTATATATTTGTCACAAACCCGCTGTGGATGTGAACTTGGACCACTCCGGCTGCCATCTCTGGACAGAGGAAAGGCGCCTCAGCCGAGCAAGCCCAGCCCTCGCCATTGAGGGCGAGCTCCCCGGCAGAGACTTCCCATTTTGTGGGAAGCGGGTCGAAGTCTGGGAGGAGCGCAGAGCGGGCCTTTCTGCCCTCTGCCTTGCTAGGAGTGGAAGCGAAACTTGGTGCTTGGCCGCCCCTCCGCTTCCAATCACTTTCTGAGCTTTTGAGTATCTCAGGTGTTCCGGAGGACCGTCGGCCGAATGCTTGCAGGCTTGTGTGGAAACGTCTGGGCCCGAGGGCCACGCGTGTGCCCAGCGCAGGTTGGAATGCCCCTTCTAATCCATCCTGTGTCCCCGCAGGGGCCCTGGCTGGGAGCGAAGGTGCCGCCTACTCCCCCAAGATGGAAGATTGGGCTGGCGTGAACCGCACGGCCTTCCCCGCCACCCCCGCAGTGAATGGTCTCGAGAAACCTGCCTTGGACACAGACATTAAATACACTCAGGTAGCGGAGCGACAGGGGAAAAAGGAGTCTTCTGGGGGAGCGGGAGGGTTGGTGGTGGGGGCAGAAAGAGAAGAGAAAACTCCCCCAGGCCGGGGAACGTGTCGATCTGTCTGGCTGCCGGACGAGCGAGAGTCTGAGCCACAGATTTCTCTCCTTTTCTCAAGCGCACTAGTTTGGAGAGGCTGACTTTCCAGGAGATTGCCTTGCTTCTTGCCAAGATACTTTTATTTAAAAAAAGCTGGAACCCAGAACACAGATGGTAGAGGACTCCCTTCTAAATCCTGCTTGGTGAAATCTGTGACCCTCTAATCTCTTACTATTATTTATAACAATTTACGGGGACATCACTTTGCCAGAGTCCTTCGTTAGAAAATTAGAGGCCAGGCTTAGCGTGAGGATAACTGAGGCGATAGGTGGGGGAAATGAGGATGTCCTAGCTCGGGTAATTGCGCCTAGCTCGGTAATTGCGCCTGCGGGAGCAGACGGCGGGACTGCCTGCTGCTGATGGTCTGTCCCTCTCGATCCTCACAGTCGGCGTCTGGCCTCTCTGCGGTAGGCGGCTTCCTCCCGGCCTGTGCCTACCCGGCCTCCAACCAGCAAGGCGTGTACAGCGCACCGGCCGGTGGCTACCTCGCCCCGGGCCCGCCTTGGCCGCCAGCGCAGGGCCCCCCGCTGGCGCCTCCCGGGGCCGGCGTCACCGTGCACGGCGGGGAGCTGGCGGCAGCGATGACCTTCAAGCATCCCAGCCGGGAAGGTGAGGGGCGACGCAGGGGAGAGGGTCTGATGAATGCCCCTAGAGTTAGGAAGGGTGTAGGAGTGTGGGCTGGGTCTTGGTGAGAGGGATGGAGAGAAGTTGGGGGGAGGGAGAGCGAGAGCAAGAGCGAGCGAGCGAGAGAGAAGAGCTGGAGTGGGGTCCCAGGCATAAATCTTTACTAAATGTGTAGCTTCTTGGAGCAGATTAATTTCTAACAGGTGTGTGCCCTGTCGGTGAAAAGGCAGGCAGAGTTTGAGAGGCCTCAGGACTCTCCTTCCTGAATTGTAGGGAGAGAAACAGAAGAGGGTCAGCTGGCAAACAGGACTCCTAGGTTCCAACCTGGTTTTGTGCCCTTGACCAAGCTATTGTTTCTTTCTGTTTCTCAAATTTTCCATCTGTAGAAGGGTCCAGAAGCACCTTCAGGCTCATTTTTGTGTGGCTTGCAGAGCTTTGCCTCCTGTGGTGGACTACAGCTGGATTCTTCCAGGCACCTCCTATTTCTTTTCTTTTCTTTTCTTTTCTTTTCTTTTCTTTTCTTTTCTTTTCTTTTCTTTTCTTTTCTTTTCTTTTCTTTTCTTTTCTTTTTCCTTCTTTCCTCCCTTCTGCCCTCCCTTCCTTCCCCTGGTCTCTCTCTCTCTCTCTTTTGGTTTCTCTGATTCATTTCCTTAAACACATGCTTTGGGAATGGAGAGAACATTTCAGTCTTGTATCCCCAAGTCTAGACTCTTGAATTCTGTGTGATCTAGCATCCTTCTTTTGGTGGAAAATGCAGCTGGAAATTCTCCTTTCTCCTCTCTGTCCATAAATCCACTCTGAGAAGTCCCCTAACAGATTTGAGGTATTTAATTGAAGGCCAACAGTGAGGGGTATCTTCTTACACTGTCTTCTGGGTGTTGTTTTTTCCTATAACTTGGGAAAAGCTCACCTGCTCTTGAGACTCCTTTCCTTATTGGCAAATGAAGGGCTGGATATGCTAATTTCACACCTTACAGCATTTAGGTTCTCAGCACTAGAAATCTATAACTCTACAACCCTAGAAAAGGAAAGAGTTCTCTTGACTGAGCACAGACTTGGAGGGCTGTGTGAGGCAGAGGGATCTTCCAGATTACAAAGGGATCTTTACCATCTGATCTGCCACACATCTGCCAAGGCAGAAGTCCTTCTTTGTGACATGCAGGCAAAAAGCTTTATTTCCACATAGTTTCAGTGAGATCAACAGCATGAACTGAGAGAGAAAAGATTAATATGCCATCAGTAACAGTCAAGTGGAGGAAAAAAATTGCTGTTTCCACTTTTTTTTTAGAGCACAAACATCTTGGGGTATAAATTGCAGAAACTGAGAATTAGAATCCCTTTAAGCTTTACATGTAAGGGCAGATGGGGGTGGGGGGGTCTCATGGTGATTGCTTTGCTCAGCGTCTTGTTCTTGGTCTTGAATCTTCCTGTTTTCTCAGCAACTGGAGGTTATCTGCTAAATTAGGAATAGAAACAGAATTTTCTTCATTACCCAAATCATTTAACTAAGCAAGTTCATTTGAATTAGGAAAGTATATCCACAAATTTAAATGATTTTCCCTGGGCTGATCTCAGGGAGAAGGAAGACTTCAGAAAAAGGACTCATTATCTCCAGAATAATGCCTTGGTTTGCTAACGGAGCTATTTTGTCCTGAGACATTTAAAACTCTACATTAGAAACAAATTATGATGTGTAGGTAACAATCCAAAGGTAAAACGTACAGTTCAGAATTCTAAACTAATTCTAGCTGATGGGTGGAGGGATTCGTTGGTGGCTGATTTTCTTTTCAAGGTACTTTTCTTTTAGAAATACAGAGCCTTTGAGTGGTACTGGTATTCACATCCCTTTTTGCCAGTAATTTCCTTCTTATTATGAAATACCCCACCCATTTTCAAAATCCACAGCAATAATTAGCTACCTTAGTTATTAATACCTTAATTTCCTGACCCCCATAGTTCTTTAGAGATCTAGGTAAAGGATCATTGAATAAATCAGGCCTATCATCGAAAATGATTTCTCAAGCTGGCATTGCAAGTGTTAGTGTTTGAACAGGAACATAAAAATAATGAGAATTACATGCCTACTTGGGTCATGGAGTTTTACCCTTTTTCTCACTGGCAGAAAAGTTGACTTCAAAGACCTTCCCTTTCCCCTCTCTCCTCCAACCCCCACCGATCTTTGAAAAATTACAAAGTAATAAGAATCACTGCCTTTAATTTCTCTAATCATTACTTAAATTATCTTCAAAGAAACTTATCCTATAAGACAAGTTACTATCATTAATTACTGTTCAGTTTTGAAGAATGGTAGGAATTTTTTTCAGTAACAACAATTTCTGTACTGTAAGCAATTGAATATCAAGAATGCTCAGTAAAAAGCAAATATTTTTGATCATACACGCACAACACACACAATACTGTATCTACCTATCTATCTACACATACATATGTTTCAATGCATTCTCCAATCAGGTGCAAATGCACATTAACTGTTACCAAATCAAATGTCAAATTACGCATTGCAACATATTAATTTTATCTTGGTGAAGGGTAGTGAAGCTGGACTCCCTCTTATGTAGACAAGAAATTATGGTTTACATTTTCCATCTGTGAAAGGAAACTTTAATTCTTGGGGCCTGAGAGAATGGGGACGTTCCACCTCCTCTACATTTGGAGGGGACCTAATATTCTGGGAATCTCCACAGCTCCACTTTCTTGTCAGAGCCAGGACACAACGATCTCCACACATACCTTCCCTGCCTCCAGACAAGTGGCAGGGGCCACCAGAGGTTTACTCAAAATGATTGGTATTTACAATTTACAGTGTGTTTTCCAGAACCATCAAAATCGCATGGTTCTAAAATACCTCCCATAGTGTCTTTGGAAAGACTAAGGTTTTGAATATCAAATCTATAAGACTGCTTTTCTCCAAAAAAATATGTTGTTTGTATTTGTCAAACATAACTCGAAGCTTTGTTCCAGTTATCTCTGCTTGGCAGTAGTACCTGAAGGATCGATCCTGAAAGCGAACTTTGCCAGAAAGCTGCACTGGGATGCAGGTGTTTGCGGGAGAGACCAGCAGCCGCCAGCCTGGTTTCCTTTGACCTGGCCTGGAAACCCCTTACCAGATCCTGCCTGTGTCCCAAGCCATGGTCCCAGTGGCTCTGCAACCAGAGTCCCAGTATTTTGAAAACGCTTGTCCCCATTCCTGTCCCCTAAGATTAAATGAACCTGCAGGGCGCCTAAGGCTGCTCAAGCCTCTGAGACTTTAGCCACTTAGTCTCTCACGTCGCCAGGGCCCTGTGGGTGGGCAAAGGGGGAAGGAAAGGTCTTGTGGGGAGGGTCTGGTGTGGACAGAACTAAAAAGGCAGCAGCTGGAGGAGTTGCCCCCCCCCCCTCCAAAGTGAGGTGGAATCTATCTCTGGGCTCCTGGGTGGTTTTTTTTTTTGTTTTTTTGTTTTTTTTTTAAACCAGTTCATTTTCTTGCTTGTGTCAAAGGCAACTGGCCCAGAGCTGAGAAACCTCCGCCTCCTCTGATGTGTTCTAAACAGGTCCTCACCTTGAAGGGAGCGCACAGGTGGAAAGCAAGGGTCTATAATCCTCACAGCCTGAGCGGACACAACTGTGTTTAGGAAAGAGCGGAGAGTCGGGGAGAGCAGAGTGATCACTGTGTCCTGGAAAGGTCTTTAGATCCCTTCAAAACCTCTGTGAAACCAGATGTGCGCGCGCGTGTGTGTGCGTGTGTGTGTGTGTGTGTGTGTGTCCCCGTCCCTCCAAAAGGGGTATCCGGCCCAGCTCTGCGCAGCCACAGCAAGCGGCGCCTGGGACCAGGGTGCGGCCGGCAGCTGCAGCGGAAAACAAGCCGGAGTTCTCCCTTGTCCCAAACTGACGCGCTTCGAGCTACCCCTTTAAAAAAAGCACTGAAAGGAGGGTGGGGGGAAAAAAAGCTGAAAATGGGCGCCTTTAGGTATAAACAATTTGTGCCTCCAGCAGGAATAGCTGAAAGGCCGGAGGCTGGGAAAGGAAAAACAGTGGTTGCGCAATCGTGCCGTCACTTTGCCGGTTTCCCGAGGCAGAGCTTGGGCCCCTTCCCAAAACCCTAAATAACAGAGCAACACGCAGAATGCAGTCTGATCCGGCAAATCCACTGTCACCTAATCCGCAGGCCCGGAGGCCCCGGGGCGTGCGGTGCCCGCAGTGGGGATCGCAGCTGGATCCCCAGGCCGCGGGGGCAGAACGGAGACGGCCGCCTCCTGTGTGGTAGCGATCTCGGCGCCCGCGGGCCATCCACCAGGGGCTGCTTTGGTGACCCGCTTTCCGCTAGGTTGCCCTTGCTCGCCGCTAGCGCCCCGGGTCGCTGGAGGGACAGCGGACCCGACGCGCTGGGAGGACCCTCGGGTTTGCGCACGCTGCCGGGGTTACGGTGGCCATTGGAGGAGGGTCGCGCGCGTCTTGCATCTGAGAACCTTCCCTCGCCCCTGGGTGCACGGGTCGGCAGGGCAGACCCGCGCGGGTCGTCTCCTTTACGGACAGGGTGTGAGGCAAAGGCAAGTGCACCCGGGCCGCGGTCAGGGAGCGTTTGCAAAACGGCCAAATTTGTGCTCCAGAGTGGCTCTCTTAAGGGGACCTGGAATGGTGGGCGCCAGCGGGCGCGTGGGGCCCTGGAAGAGTGCGCGTCGCTGCTTCCTTATTACAAACCCTTAAGGTGTCAACCTCGGATTCTCACGCTGTCACCGCATTTGCGGAGGTCCCGGGCCTCCTTGTGTTCAGCTCTGCGCGGCGCCACCCAGTGACCCGACGCCCCTGTGCTTCCTCCCGCAGTGGCCGATCGGAAGCCGCACAGCCCCGGCGGCAAGGCCCCGGACGGCCTCAGTGGCTTACACGGACTGCCCATCCCGGCCTCGACCTCCTAGGGGCAGCGCTTCCCGGAGCCCGACCCCGAGCCCGGAGCAAGTAGCGGAGCGGCGGGAGGACCGGGGCGCGCGGCTCGGCCTTGCAGTCCCCGCAGCGCGCGCAGGACCCTGGACACGCAGAGGAGGTGCCCGGGGTCGGCACGGCGGGGGCTCGTTGGCCCCGAGAGCTCGCTCTGCCCACCGGCCCGGCGGCCACATTTCTTTTACCGGCCAGGGGTTTTAGGCTTTTCTGAACTTTGGCTTTAGACTGTGGCACCCTCGTCCCGATCCTTGCGCCTACGTGGCCTCCCTCGCTAGGCCAGCCTCAAGTGTCCTTTCATACCTCTCCCAGGGTTGTTAGGCGCCCTGCCTCCCTCTCTCTTCCCTTCCCTCCTCCCTCTTCCTTCTCCTCTCTCCCTCCCGTCCCTTCGGTCTCGGTTTCCCCTTTCCATCCCACCTAGTCTTCTTTTCCTTCCACTTGTTTCCCGGCCTCCCTTTTGTTCTCTTTTTCTCCCCTCCGTTTTCCCTGCTTCCCTTTCTCCTCCCTTTTCTGCGCCACGGTGCCCTCTTTGCTGTGCTCCTCTCCCCTTTGTCTTTTAGACTCTTTTACAATGACTCCGTTTCTTTTCATTCCTCCTGTGTACCTGACCCACACCCCTTCCGGGGAGAGCCCCAGATTGGGCTCCTTGACCATCCCTCTTGGGCAGCTGGGACTTTTTAGTCTCCACCTCTTGGAGTCCCCCAGCCCAAAGGAAAGGGTCCAGAACCCTATGGACAGAGAGGCCATAGCCTTTATTTTATATTTTAATATTAATGAACCCAAACAAAACTCGGACGAACTGTCCTGTCCCCTCTTTCCCCCCAGGATATTGTCTGATAATCTGTATTTTCTCTGCACCTACTGACTGAGCTTCTCTTCGCTTTCCCCCGAGATGATGTGTCCCCAAAGAAGATTGGGGTAGGAGTAGGGGGCACTGGGGCCATTGGTATTTTCTCTAGTTGGAAAACTCCATGCCCTGGAGTTGCCCCCTTCCTGCCCCTCCACACCTGATGGGAGGGAATCTGACACAATGTAAACGCATCAGCACCAGCACTGTTTCTGGTTTTCAGGGGTCAGCACATTTGTTAATTTAAACCACCAACTGCTTCCTGGTACAAAGGTGCAATCTGGCTTCTGGTTTGCAAGGGGATGAGGGTCAGAAAATCCAGAAAATGTCTTGTAGAGCTGGATGCAAGAGCTGTTAACTGCTTCCAAGTTCAGGCGCACTGGTGGCGGGACCCTGGACGCAAAACTGCAATTGTTGTCATTCTAAAAATGTTATTGGTAAGAGTGTGGCATCACCTGTACAACGTGGCTGCCTTTGAATAAAGGAGAGCATCTGAAGAATGCGTTGTAAAGGGTGAGCAAGTCTGTGTCCAGTCTGCAGTGCTGTGTAGGTCCAGCTCACCTACTCCCGCCGCTCAGTTTCCAGCACGAACACTATGAAGATGGAGTTATTTTACTCGTTTGTTCATTAGCACTCACAGCCTGGGTTGGGCAGGGGGTAGAGAAGGTGAAGGAGGAGATTTTTCAAGGATTTGTCCCAGAGAGCTCCAGGCACAGAGGCACTATGCAGAGATCATGCTAAAAGGAAGCTAATTCTGAGAGGAGTAAAGTGGGCAAAAGACAGTGAGCACCAATGGGGACTTTTCCAGAACATTTCTAACATTTTGAAAGGGAAAGAAAATTATCCCAGGCTGCTGAACAATCTAGGGTTTTCTAACTACACAGGGGTCTCTGGCTAATTGTTTTGTTATTCCTTTCCGTGTTTGGCTTTCTAAAATGAATGGAAGAGATTTTTGAATTGAAGGTTTTGCTTGTAAGTGGATCTGCCTGTTTGGATTAACAGGGGGCAAGTGAAGAGATGGTTTTTATTGCTTCTTGTTGCAATTGTACCCGTTGAAGGTATTAATCACAAAAGAATATCTGCTATTTTTCATGGAGAAACAAACATCTGTTCCCATGTTTTCAAGGGGTCTTGTCTTTTAAAAAAATCCATTTTATAGGTAGGATGACTGAGGACTAGCTATTTGGTTTCTTTTCTCTGGACCATACAGCGAGCTATAAATTGCAAGTCTTGGGGACAAAAACTAGGCGACACCATCTCATCAGAGGGCCAGGATTGGGGCTTGAACTTTGAGACTGGGGTCCTCATCCTTCTGTGCCAGCATTTCCTGCAGAGAAGCTGCATGAAATGATAATAGGAATAAAGTAAGAAAAAGAAGCATGTTTTCAAATCACTAGACCTCTCTGTGAGTTTTCATGTACTTAGATGAGCTTTACACATTCGCAGTTGTCATGAGTCCATGTTTCCTGCCCGGAAGAGGAAGATGGGCTTTCCCAGGAAGAATACATCTCTGAAGAAACACTATCCTATGTACCTAGCCTGTCTCCAAATTGCCATCATTCCCATTTCCCAGACACTTTCCATTCTGTGTTTGTGCTGATCAGAGTTAAGGATGAAAAAGCTGGGGAAAGCGACTCAAGAAAGATGGAAGATACCTATGTCATAAATACCACCTGCATTTGGCACTTTCCAAATCTGTCCCCAGTGGTTCTCCATATCTCGTGGCTGGAGGTGGGCCTTTCAGAGTTCCTTGGCTGTGGGGTGAGTGCCTGCAGGCTTAAGCATTGGATGTGGGATATGCAGGGACATCCCTTCTCTCTTGACATCTCAGGCCATGGGAAGTCCCAGTGAGCTTGGGTTAAATCCGTGCTTCACTGCAGTGTAACCAAAGGAGGCCTGTGACCTCTCAGCTTCCATATTCTCATCTCTGAAATGCACCATCCAGTGCAGTGACACCCACAGTGACTTGGCCTGGAGGAAGACTAGCACTGGTATTGCTTAATCTCCCTGGAGATGATTTTGCTGTTAATAGAGGATAGGAGAGTCATTTTAATGACTGATGGGGGACCCAGCATTTAAACTTTTTTTTTTTTTTTTCCAGAGGGTCCCATTGGAATATAACAATTTTGGTTTCTGTGCCTATGGATCTGTGGAGGTGCAGGAGACTTAGGAAAAAATTATGTAGTATCATGTCAGGCACAAGAATTTAAGAAACAATCACTCCCCAAGCACAATTTTTCTTTCTTCTCGCACCGTTTTTTTTTTAAATTAAGAATAATGTTCCTTTTTTATACAGAGAAGCATTAAGAAGGAAACAAAGAGAAAAGACATAATCACTCAAATAACCCTTCGGGTTTTTTTTTTTGAAAGAACAAAAGTAATATATGTACATTGTTAGAAAATTCTAGCAGTACAGAAGCACTGAAATGAAAAGTGTAAGTTTCTTCCTATCCTCATCTCTGTCCTTAAAGGTGAACAGTGTTACAGTCTTTTTTTTTTAAGTTTTAAAGTTTATTTATTTTTGAGAGAAAGCACGGGTGGGGGAAAGGCAGAGAGAGAGAGAGAGAGAATCTCAAGTGGAGATTCTGACAGTGTGGAGTTCAATGTGGGGCTTGAACCCATGAACCATGAGATCATGACCTAAGCCAAAGTTGGATGCTTAACCTACTGAGCCACCCAGGTGCCCCCAGTCTTTTATGAATCCTTCCAGGAAACGAAAACGCAGACAGCAGAATATTTCAGTTTTTGTGTATGTGCTATTTAACTGTGCACACCAGAGATCTGGGCTCTATACACACCGATAAGGTCTGGAGATCTGATCTTTGCATACCAGCTGCTTCAGCTCCACTCTATTCACTTTATTCTCCTGAATGGATGCATATCAATAGGGTTTATTAAAAACAGAGTATTTATAAAGAGGGCCAGCTCTGTGCTTTAAATGAATACAGGCAGGATTTTGTTGCATTCATTATTGGAGGAAGTGCTTAGAATGGATTGTAATAACTTCTCTGAGAAAGGTGGCTGCTTTTTGGCAAACCAATAGGAAAGAGACCGAGAGACAAGAGACACAGAGTTTTGTCCTTCCCGAAGACATTCTGACTTGTTTTATAGATTACTGAAGGGGCTACAAGGGGCTAGTAAATGCAGTTTTCCTTTCCTTTGAAGGGAGTCCATCTCTCTAGATCAGGAGAGAAAGACTGAAGTGGGGTGGGGTAGAAATACTGGCTGGGAATAAAATGTAAATATCCAGTACTGGCACAAGCTTTCTTACTACCCGCCCCAAATCTGCTTGGAATCTCTTAGCCTCCTTACAGATGAACCTCGCTCAAGGACAACTGTATTTCCCCATTTGCTTGTTTCTTGACTCCTGTTAGAGGATGGGATTCATTTAATTGAATGGCTGTTCAAGTTAAAGTACTTGGTAGGTTTCTTGGCATCAGCTTCCCTAGCTAGAATTACACTGGCCTGGGTTTCTTTTCAAAAGAAACTCTACCTGCTCTACGTTATGCTGGGTAATATGAATTTAGAATCTTGCCAAAATGTGTCTGAGGAGTTCAGTTGAAAGGCCTGTGTATCCAGACAGGCTATGTAATGAGAAACACTTGGTTTCTTCTTTTAATGGGCAGGAATTATGCACAAAATGGTATTCACTGTTCACCTTGACCTTGATGTCTGAACTATAGCCACATTCATACTGAAGAAATGTCCCATGACTGAGATAGTTCTGGCCAAATGATTGAATCTCCACTTAAAAACAAACAAAACAAAAAACACATCTGTTTTTGGATTCCTCCTCCCCATCCTCTCCTCCTCCTCTTCCTCCTCCTCCTCTTCCTCTTCTTCTTCTTCCTCCTCCTCTTCTTTTTCTTCTTCTTCCTCCTCCTCCTCCTCCTCCTCCTCTTCTTCTTCTTCTTCTTCTTCTTCTTCTTCTTCTTCTTCTTCTTCCTTTTCTTCTTCTTTGACAGAGCAAGGAGGAATCACATTGTCTCTTTTTCAAGGCATTACAGTGAGAACCACACATTTAGTCAGAATCCAACTTGGGAATTCTAAACACTTGGAACAATTATACTCAATTTAGGGAAGTCTCTTCTTTGGAGTTGAAACTGGTTAAAACCTCTGTTTCACTCTAAAGAG